TTGCCCTCTTCCTTGTCTAGTTAAGTTTGCATATTTCTGGCTAGTCTTCTCTCTCTGTTTCAACCTGCTTCATCCTTCATGCAACTGCAACTCTTTATACATGCCTTCATTTTTGTCTTCTGCCGGTGACTTTTGCAATAGTCGTTCTATTTCCACTGCTCCTCATACTGGCCACTGCCTTCCACCATGCTGGCCAACTGGTTTCTAATGGCAGCACCAATGGATAAAGCCATCCTTAAATATAATAATCACAGGATGGCTATGACACCAGAACCCTAATTGCAATTTCTGGCCTATTTCTGGCCTCCTCAATCTATGTTTTGCATGCATAAGATCCAGGTTGACAAACCAAGAATAAAACCAGCAACATAAATTTCAATCCTTCCCATCAAAATCCCCTTTATTACTTTTGTCAGGCTACCAATTTACTTCCATGAGGAAGTAGAATTAAAGAAGGAGGGGTTTAATGTCACTTTCTCTTCAAAGGAAAATAGGTTGGCCACTTCAAGTTCAACAGAAGCACACACAGAACTCCCCATGGAAATCCAGTCCATCTGGCCTATGATACAAGTCACAGTGGGGCAGAGTCTTCTGCCAGGATAATGGGAAGTGCAGTTGCTTTCCATGAGGCAGTCACGAAGAGTAGAGCCTGGGGGGAATAAAATGCCTTCACCTGTTCTCTCAGCTGCCCTACTTCCTTTGCTGAGCTCTAAGAGGTTTGGCAGGAGCAATCCTGAATTTTGTTTTTTTTTATTGGATAAATTGCTTATACACATCCGATATTAGTCATCTTTATTGTTTATCTTATAGATAAACTGTAGGTAGCAGCACCAGCTAATTTTGACTGGACTCAGAAATTAAGGGCGATTCCTTTGGTTGGAACTTGGATAGGAGAGTTCCAAGGAATCCTGGGCTATAGGCCAGATTGGGCAGGTAAATGCATCCTGGACGAGGGCATAACAAACAGTTTCTATACGGTTGCCTGAATGTGTTCAGATTGTCACCAGGAGTTGAACTCAATTTGAAGGAAGTTCACTTTTTACAACACACTTTTTACAATAATGTACAGTGTGTGTTGAATTGTATTATACTGCTGTACATTTTCAGAGCAACCAATGATTAGTTTTTTGCAGTTCCTCTCTTCTAGGTAGAACTACCAAAGGGAGAATCATAGGAGCCATTTAGCTGGGGGTTGAACTTCATACTTGATACAAAGTTCAACCTAAGCTAAATGCTGGAATCATATTAAAATATCTCTTAACAGATATACAGTGAAAAGTCCAATATTTCAATGAGTAATTGGTTCTAATGTCAAAATTGTCTTACTGTAAGAAGTTTTCTCTAAAGTTTTCACAGAGTCAACTGTACAGGTAATTCTCGATTTACGACCACACTTGAGCTCCAAATTTCTGTTGTTAAGTGAGACATTTGTTAATGAGTTTTGCCTCATTTTACAACCTTTCTTGTTACAGTTGTTAAGTGAATCACTGCAGCTGATAAATTAGTAACCTGATTGTTAAGTGAATCTGGTTTCCCCATTGATTTTGCTTGTCAGAAGGTTGCAAAAGGTGATGACATGACTCTGGGACACAACAACAGTCATAAACATGATTCAATTGCCAAGCATCTGAAAGTTGATCACGTGATCATGGGGATGCTGTAAAGGTCGTAACTGTGAAAAACGATCATAAGTCACATTTTTCAGTACCGTTGTAACTTTGAATGGTCATTAAATGAACTGTTGTACCTCGAGAACTACCTGTATCTCCCAAAATTCCTCATTGCTAGTTGTGCTGGCTGGGGTTTCTCAAAAATTGTTCAACAGATCTAAAGGGTATCTGGTTCTCCATTTGTGCTATATGCCAGTGATGCAACTGCTATATGCCAGCATTGCAACTGCTAAGTCAAATGGCACTCCCACCTTAAGTTTTGGATCACAGTCCACTAAAATTTGTTGTTAAACTGATTTTTTTTAAAAACGTAATTGATATTAAATATGAGGAGTACATCATATTAATTAAATTAACCTAGAATTCATTACTTTTAAGTTAATGATAATGTAAATAAAATGTAGTTTTAATAGGATACTGCTCCTTTGGTTATCCTGGCCGTGGTCTTGTTCTAGATTATAATCCTAGTTTTGTTACTCAAGAAATATAAATTGCATGTTGCTGCTTTACTCTATACCTTAAAGTTAAGTTTGTATCATTTTACAGAAATGTAGCAGAAGTAAGACTGTAAGCAGCCTATTGCTGCTTACACTTCCCAATTTCCATACAGCATCTTGGCTTTAGTTTCCAGTATCTTCCTTTTCTCTTTTGCCAAGGGATTCATTTCCCATAAAAGAGACAAATGTTCCAATTAGTAGTTTTTACTAGATGACTAAGTTGCTTGTCTCAGTTTTGCTACATGATCCCATGTCATAGAAGAGGAAGAACACGCAATCCATGAGTTATAATAGGCAAATGTATGGGTATTTTTATTTCTCCTTTTCTGACCCACAGAAAGGGGCATTAATTCAGCCTACTGATATTTTGAATGTTTGTCAAAACTTTTGGACAATGTAATTTTAGAAGTAGAGTATAGGATTATGGTTATTTAGTAGCAGCAAAGGACCAACTCATCAATCTTTATGTTCCTGCTGAGCTTATTTAAAATCAAAATATATTCAAATAATACAATAACTCTATTGAGATTCAAATGATTTCTATTGCCCATATTTTGACCAGGGTGTTGCTGAGCTAAGCCAGGGAAACATATATGATCTAATCACTTACTTTCAGTTTTGGCATATGATGACTATGAAATACAATTTCATACAATCATTAACTATCAGAAAACAAAAACAAAACAAATCTTTCAAATACGTTTAAAATTATGGAAGGCAACTTTAGTATCATACAAAGTTCTGTTGGTGAAAGTTGTTAGCAAATGTTTAGGTTTAGAGCAACCTTCCCATTCTGGATCCTGGGAATTTTCCAGAGATGTGGATTTCAAATCCTACGATTCCCCAATCAGTGTGGCCATTGCTGAGAATTCTGGGACAAAGTCCACACTTGTGGGGGATATCCAAATTGAAGCCTACAGGATCAAGAGCGGGCTTAATGGTATCTGCAATAGAGATTTGTGGGTTGTTTAGAAAAGGAGTGGGACAGTCTAAGACCCTGCCTAAGGCAAACAGTCAGACCAACTAGAAGTGTCTCCCAACTCAGGATGTTGCAAATATCATTCAGAGAATAGGAATAATTTTGGTTGTTTTAGTTGGTTCATATCATAACACAGTTTGGGATAATTGAGATATTGATATTTGAAAGTAATGGTACGTTATGCAAACATAACATTAAGGCTTCTTTAACCAATCTTTGATTATATAACTAACTTAGAATGATTATAAATTCAATCTTTATATAACATGATTAGTAGATTTTATGAAACATTGACTTGCGAAGCATTGGCACCCTTCGGTAAACGGTGTTTGCCTGATATTGGACTTCTTTCTTATATTCCACCAGTATGCAAATGAAACACTCTTGAGTATTTCAATCTCCAATGTTGGAATTCACTTTCCAAGAAGAGAAAGAAGCTGTCACTGAAGAAAATAAAATTAATTGATTTAGTAATGGTATTTATGGAGAGCAGTATCCTTTATTAAAAAGATTAGCAACCCAGATACTGTTTTATTCTATGACCATAAGGCTTCTTTCATGATATGGATAGGACAGCCAGATTTTACCATTCCAATTTCTTGTTTACAGTTACAGTTTGTCTAAGTGCAAGACCTATATTTCTAAGGGATGTAAATATCAAATATTATATAATAATAATAATAGTAAAGTTGGAAGGGACCTTGAAGGTCATCTAGTCCAACCCCCTGCTCAGGCAGGAAACCCTATACCATTTCGGACAAATGGCTGTCCAGTGTCTTCTTAAAAACTTCCAGTGTTGGAGCATTCACCGCTTCTGGAGGCAGGTTGTTCCACTGGTTAATTGTTCTCACTGTCAGGAAGTTTCTCCTTAGTTCTAGATTGCTTCTCTCCTTGATTAGTTTCCATCCGTTGCCTCTTGTCCTGCCTTCAGGCGCTTTGGAAAATAGCTTGACTCCCTCTTCTTTATGGCAACCCCTGAGATATTGGAACACTGCTATCATGTCCCCCCTCATCCTTCTCTTCATTAAACTAGACATACCCAATTCCAGCAGCCGTTCCTTATATGCTTTAGCCTCCAGTCCCCTAATCATCTTTGTTGCTCTTCTCTGCACTCTTTCCAAAGTCTCAACATCTTTTTTACATCGCGGTGACCAAAACTGGATGCAGTATTCCAAGTGTGGCCTTACCAAGGCATTGTAAAGTGGTATTAACACTTCTCGTGATCTTGATTCTATCCCTCTGTTAATGCAGCCTAGCACTGTGTTGGCCTTTTTGGCAGCTGCAGTGATTGATAGATATCCCTTTCTATGCACAAAGCACATTTTAGCACTTAAGAAAATGGTCACAAAGTCACTGAAACAGGCATGGGGTAGGATCTTTGTTCACTAATACATTTAAAGGGAACCCAGCCTATACTATAGTGATAGAACAAGCTGCTGGCATAATGATGCATTGTCTCAGCTCTTTTGGCTCTCCTTTGTGTTTTACTATTGGCTGGAGTTCTGTGTTATAGAAAACAGTGAGATAAGGCTATATAAATCATGGCCTGTGCTCAAGTGAAAGTGAACATCAGGGGAACAGAGGGTAAAATTAGTTTTTTCCCGGCCATTCTGAAGATTTTGTGAATCACTAAGGAAGAAAAGTTTACATTTCAGTTATGTAATGCAATTTTCCTGCTCTGATACTTGAGTATCCCCTCTTGCAGGTTCTTATAATCTGTGCTGCTAAAGATTTTAGGAGATAGTAATACGGATCAATCCAAGTAATTGGTAAAGGAAAGTGTAACTCTATTTAAATATGTATAAAGCAAAGCTAGATCATGCCATACTTTTCCCTATGTTGTCTTCATTACAGAACACAATAACCAGCATCAACAAAGAACTACAGACCTTCCAGGCTCAATTTGAGGATGCAATGGCTGCACACCAGAAAGAGGCCAAACGCTTAAATGAACATATAAAGGAGCTGGCAAGAGAGAAAGAACTTAATGGGCGGGAGGTATGTATGCCTCTTTAGCTGTTACATCTGGTCATTTCCTCTCTATCCTTGTTGAATATTCATCCAAAAAAGTGGATTGCATATCCACTTGTCAACAAAGGCTATCAGGGTAGGCTGGGAACATAGATAGATTTGAAATCTAAAGTCTTCTGTTCCCATAGAAGTTAAGAGTGCTAAATGTTAGGAAAAACACGTGACAAAACATTTTAGGAAATCGATGTTGGAGATGCACCATTTTTCAAATGTCAGAATAATATGATTAAGCAGGAGTTTCTAATACGATATAAATTCATAACACTGCCACCTCTGGACAAACAAATGTAGCAAGCTTTGAAACCTCTACAACCCTCTCTAAAAGGACAGCAGCTATGTCCAAGAGCAGAATCAATCTACTCCTAGATTTGCTGTGCTGTATTTGAAACTGCGGTGGAACTTTTCCTGAAGAACTGCTGAGCAGTCTGTTTCTCCTTTTGTAGAAATTCTTGCCCAGCTTTTTTCTCTAGCATATTCTCTGGTTTTCCAGGACAGCAGAACTTGAAATTATTATAGGTCAGTTTCACAATGTTTTGAGGGTTTAGGGAATGGAAATGATTATACAAATGGTGCCGTGTTGTTCCCTGGATGAGCTTAGACCTCAGGGGCTTTTATCATAGCACGTTGAACTTGTTGAAAAGCTGTCATCTGCCTGTATTCTGGATGGATGTGGCCTCCTGCGGAGCATGTGGAATATCCAATGTGCTCCCAAGATGGGTATTGGCTAGAGTAATTGGAACTGATCCAGCTAGTCATGCCTTTACACCAGTTCCAACACCGGCTTGTCATTGGTTAAATTGGAAGCAGAAATCACTGTCCACCCTGTCATGTCCCCTCTTTTTAACATCCAACTCTAGAGGGTGGTTTTTTACATTCTTCCAAATATCTGCAACTCTGAAAAACTTCCCCAGATGGTAACCCTCACCCACTGCCAGATGTTTCCAGGGTTCTAATTCTTTATAAACGGCAAAGGCAGAACAAAAATGACCCGAGCTTGAGGGAGGAAAGAGAAAGAAAGGGATGGGGTGAGGGGGAAATAGAAAATTAAAGGACATAAAAGAGGAAGAGAGAGTAATTTAACATGACAGGCTGTTTATTTTGGCAAAAAATGGCCTCCTTTCAACAGATTTCAAAGTCCAGCCCCAGGAGGGACCACACAAGCAAGAGAAGAGGGTTGTTTCAGAGGGCAGGGAGGGCAGAAGGAATGGGGATGGGGCAAAGGGGGTGAGGAAGATCTTCAGAGATGGAGGCAGGATGGGGCAGAGAAAGACTAACACAGGATGGGAACAGAGACAACAGAACGCGAGAGAAAGAGGGAGAGGGAAAGGGGAGGGGGAGAAGTAAGCTGAAGGACTAATATAACAAGCCGAGGGCAAAGAAACACAGAGCAAAATTCTCACAGGCGCCAGCATTGGCCTACTTATCACCATGGGAACCATAACATTTTCACAGCCTTTTAACTTGAGGAAGTCTTGAGTTGAACAGAGCTGCTGTCCCATATGTACAAGAACATTGACGCGGACACTTCTGTGCATGTACACTCCACACAACAACAATTAAACATGGCAGTCTATTTTGGCAAGTTGCCAGTAGCATGTATTTGTCCATTGCTCACCTAGATATTCTTGTTGTCCAAGATTCTCATGTACATATCTGTTCTTATTATGTGAACTTAATTATTTGAATTTGCAGACTCTTGCATATCTTAAATCATACTTAAGTCACACTTAAATGCATGCTGACTCCTACCCACGCACATACCACCCCTACCACCACACAAACACGTGCCTTTTTCTCCCACTCTGGATACCTTCTTCCATGTGTCTAAGCTTCAGCTGGAGGCTTGACAACCCAGGCATGATTTCAAAAGATGCTGTTTATAAATGTTAGTCAATATATAATTATAATAATTTCATTATGAGCTTAGCTGAAATGTTCTTGTGAAGGAGAAAACACAGAGGGGAATTAGCCAGGAAGGAGTGAATGTATTGGGATGGGGGAGTTTTGTGTGTTTTCTTTTCAGTCCCATCCACTGCAAACCCCCTCTCCTTATCCTGGGGAATAAAAACAGTTTATTTTATGATGGATCGCCCTTCTCTTTGGTCACTGACCTTTCTTTGTGAATTTCTATTGAGCTCAGCAGAAAAATGCTGAGTGCATTTGTGGATCCCATATGTGGGTGGGGGCTGGTAGAAAAAGGGTCTCACCCTAATCCTTCTCAAAAACAGAACAACAATAACACAGAGCTGGTTGGAATGAGCCAGGCCAACAGGGAGGATCTGGACAATGTTAGAGCTTTTCAGAGTAAAAAGAATTAAAAAGAAAAAGAAAAAAGAAAACTGAAAAGAAAAACATAGAACATTGGGGTTCTTATACAATTCTCCTACCCTTCCCCAAAAATACACCAGGCACAGGTCATTGCACAAACAAGCACAGCTTTCCAAGGAAGGCTGAATAAAATCCAGACCATTCTTTCTTCTCCATTTTAATTCACACCACAGTTCATGGGAAAGCTTTTAAGCTAATATGCTTCTGTGGCTGTCCAACTGAAGTTCAAATGGTACATGTGCACTGCTACCGGTTTAATCTAGGGATTTTATCTATGTTATTATTTGCAATTATTCAGATACTTCAAAACTGATTCTCCATTTTTACTGCTGTTGTTTTTCCCAACCTATTGCTGTCAAATCTTTTATTGGCAGACCCCATCCTCTCCTACAGACAAGGTGGAATTGGTCATCTTTTATGTCATTCAAGAGTGGGGGGGGGAATCAGGGAGAAGGAAAGTTTCGAGGACAGATCTGTAGACCACATCAAGTTAAGAAAGATTGCTATATTTTTGCAATATAATTCCCATAGAACAGATACAGTCAATCCTCATTATTTGCAGATTCCGTATTTGCGAATTCACTTACTTGCTTAAATGTATTTGTAACCCCAGACCAATACTCAGAGCATTTTCATGGTCATTCACAGACATATGCAGAGTGGCAAAATAATTGAGTCACTCAATATGCACATTCCAACTGAATGTTGAACAGTTTAACAAGGTGACGCTCTACCTTCTGGGTCCTGTATTTCTCTTATGAGCAATGGTTCGGTATGCGCTAATTCAGTGCATGCAGCAACTTTATAGAACATAATTATCATGAATAATAAAAACTGACTGTACTTTAAAAAAATCAGTGTACAAGGTTTCTCAGTATAGAGTATATGAAAAAGAAAAGCCTTAAGTTCACTGAAGGCCATAAGCTATTATTGTAATCAGTTTTCAGAAACATAATTCTTCCAATTAATTCTTTATTTGCTTCCTTCCAGATAGGCAGTCGCTTTATTCTTGCTCATTTTCACACTGAAATCTACATGCATGCAGTACTGACATCTTCAACGATATATCACACTATCCTGATAACTAATAGCTGTTTACTGGGAGATACATAAGCTACAATTTTTGCTCATAGACACAAGTTCAAGCTGATTAAATATAGATTTCATCACATTCACTCTTGAACACATTCCTTATTTAAAAGTAGTAAAAGGTTACAATTAACTAAGAGTTATATGAATTTAAAAAACCTTATATCTTAGTTTGTCAGCTAAAATTTATATATTATTTGGTGTTCTCAGTGCTGGTTTGACCATATATTGCACCCCATCCACACTGACTTGGTGCCATCTCCCAAAGTGAAGGTTTACAGTTTTTGAATATTTTAGAGTTTTAATTTCAGAAGGAGGGCTGGTGTTGGCACCTTCCTAATGTTTGGCAACCTAAGTCAGTGTCTACTCAGCCTTAGCTTAAGACTGCTCTTGGATATCTTGGTCTTCCCTAAGCACTCAGAAGTTACAGGAGTAGCAGTTTCTACTCGGTTTCCTTCTCTTTGGAAGAAGTGATGCAGAGTTTTGGCATTTTTATAATGTTTAGGTTTTGTTTACAAATACAAAATCTAAGCATTATAAGAAGCACCAAGCTGAAAACAGTGGAGAGTCATGTAATGTATCAGTGAAAATGTTGGACTTGAACAAGAGAAATATTCTGTTTCTAGTCCATAATCATGGAAGATTACTTGTTATCTTTTAGCCACTCTTTCTTAAACCAATTTACTCATCATGGTTATTGGTCTTCTTCAAGACCAGAATTTTGCCTCATTCTCTCCTTCCCTTTCTTATTTTTAGTTTTCCAAAACCAACTTCATTCATTTTTTACATGAGCTGTTCTAACTGATATTATCCCTGCTAATGTGGGGGATGCACAAGAAAGTATGCCAGTTTAGAAGGAAATTTGTATCAGAAAACCATCTTTTAACAATCAGCTTCCATAACACAACGTTGTTGTTGTTGTTGTTAGTTGCAAAGTCATGTCCGACCCATCGCGACCCCATGGACAACATTCCTCCAGGCCTTCCTGTCCTCTACCATCTTCTGGAGTCCATTTAAGCTCACGCCTACTGCTTCAGTGACTCCATTCAGACACCTCATTCTCTGTTGTCCCATTCTTCAATTGCCTTCAATCTTTCCCATCATTAGGCTCTTCTCCAGTGAGTCCTTCCTTCTCATTAGGTGGCCAAAGTACTTGAGTTTCAACTTCAGGATCTGGCCTTCTAAAGAGCAGTCAGGGTTGATCTCCTCTAGGACTGACCGGTTTGATCGCCTTGCAGTCCAGGGGACTCGCAGGAGTCTTCTCCAGCACCATAGTTCAAAGGCCTCAATTCTTTTGCGC